ACTTCGTTCCACCGCACAATGCCACAGCACATAGCGATGTATGCCATCCGGCAAGACATCGCCAAGAAACGTGGCCTGAAGAAGTACGGCTTCCACGGGCTTAGTTGTAAGTACACTGTGGCACTATCCTTTCTACCAGGTCTCCGCTTCACGCTAGACCGCGCATAACCCCGAGTTTGAATCTTCGTTGATGTCAACGACTCGGTCGCGGGCGACAGCAGCGCGCGCTTCGAGCCTTGCGCTCGTCCCACCGTTACTTGTATCCGCTCATTGCCTTTTCCCGGGAACGGTCTAATTGGCCTCGTGCCGGCTGCGGACTCCTGGGTTTTCCCCGCAGCCACTGATGCAGCCCCACAGATGCCTTCATCCTACGCGCCGTCGCCTCATTCCTAAACAAGGTTCGTCCTCTCCTCATATGCACCCCAGAACCCCACCCTAACACCTCCACAGGCCCCCACCGACGTCAACCTGATCGTCATGCACCTCGGCTCCGGCGCGTCCATGTGCGCGATCCGGCACGGCAAGTCGCTCGACACGACGATGGGGCTCACGCCCGTGTCCGGCCTGCCGGGGGCCACGCGCAGCGGCGCGATCGACCCCTCGCTCATCTTCCACTACACGAACCGCGCGGGCCGCATCACTCACGACCGCGCCGCCGCCGTCGACGTGCACGTCACGCAGGCGGAGGACATCCTCAACAAGCGCGCCGGGTGGGCCGCGCTCACCGGCACGACCGACTTTGGGACGATCGTGCGTGAGATGAACGCCGTCGAGGCGCGCAGAGACAAGGGCGAGGAGGTCAAGGAGGACGAGGGCAAGTGGAAGATCGCGTTCGACCTGTTCTTGGACCGCATCCTCGGGTATTTGGGTGCGTATTACGTGAAGCTCGGCGGAGAGGTCGACGCGCTTGTGTTTGCGGGCGGTATCGGCGAGCGGAGCATCGAGCTCAGGGACGCCGTGGTGGAGAAAGTGAAATGCCTTGGCTTTGCACTCGACCCGCAGGCGAACCTGGAGGTGGACAAGCACGAGGGCGCCGTCGTCGACATCGGCAAGCCGAAGGACCTGCGGCGCGTGCTAGTGTGCAGGACGGATGAACAGGTGAGTTGGCCCTGGTGTGTTCTGATCGCATAGTGTGTGGTGACTGATAGGCTGCTCCACTCCAGCTTGAGATGGCAAAGGAATGCGCCATGGATCCGAAGTTCTGGGAAGAGTGATTATACCGAAGAATGTCAAGATGCAGTAACATAGAGTATACCTTGTACCCTGTATTCCACCAGACGCTCCGTGTACGAGTTCCTTGTGAGAAGTCAATGTAAACATTCTGTATCCAGTTTGCGATGACTTCAAGCCTAGGGCACTTCGGGCTGCCAGTGAAGGTCTTCTCAGGATAATTCCATTGTTTCTTGGTCTTTTTGTCGAAAATACGCCGTTGAAGGTCATGACATGGAGTAACGAGCATTTGAAGTGACGCGTCGACCCATCCCTATAGCATCTTTATGATTGGTTCAAAAAGTGTCCCCGTTTTCGAGCTGCTCATCAGGTGCCTCGGATTGCAGAAGTCCAGAGGCATCGTAGTGCCTGTCACATCCCCGTGATTGGTGACGCGCTTCGGTGGTTTGCCACGGGCCAATCCGGTGGCGGCAAATGTACCGCTTTAACCACGACCATGCCTCCTGGCTACGCAGCGTCCGGTATTCTTTGGCTGCTCCGTTTTGCACTTGCTTGGTATATGAATCCTCGCCGATGGTCTATTTTGCGCGGCAGAGGGTCGTATTTGGTATAGATCTTCTGGGCTATGTCCTGTACGTTCTTTGACTGGGGCGAATTAACTGGTAGCTTGAGTCCTCGATCTTGGTTCAACGATAAGACTTCGGTGGATGTGCTCTTCAAGGACTTCAAGTTTACAACATCTCCATGGATTTTTAAGAGCCGTAGCCACGCGTGCACTGCGATAAGGTTTCCAAGCAGGCCTCGTGTGTCGCCGTTGTATAAAGTGAGTATAATCGTTGATGCTCCTTTCTCTTGTCCTGTTCTTTCTTGATATACTACGCCTCGGGCCCGAATGATATGTTGCCCCGATTTTCTGTGTTGCGAATGTGGAGGTTTTCCAATTGCGGGTGAATAAGAGCATGGGCTCGTGTTTAAGGCGCTTTACGTTTCCCGCCGGAGTCCATTCGTGTCCAGGCTCTCGTCATTGCCTTCGGGTTCGCAATAACATATGCTAGGCCGCCTTCCGAAGTTGACGTCTGAATGGAGCGGACCCGTGGTCAATTCCGTGCGGACTCCGGAAGGTCCCGTGTTGACCACGGGCGCGTCTCCTGTGTAGAATCCCATGCATGGGCCCGGGCCTGGGGTTCTGCTGGGCCTTGCGGAGTGTACCACTTGGCTGCTCTGCGGCAGCATCCTCGATGAATTGGAGGTGGGACAGACCCTGTTCCGCGGCGTAGGCTGTCTGGGACATGCGTGGCTCGACGTTTATGTGGGTTGTACTGTTCCCGACGAGGGCCCCGTGGATAACCATCCCGATCATCTGGTGGCGGCGCCCAATGTACGAGCCCATAACGAGCAGTTAGATGTGCAACTGTGTATCGGGGGCGGGGATGGTCTCGGTGGGTCGCTTGCGAGACGCCACTGTGAGGCATCTAAACAACGAGGGGCATGAGTGTCAGTTCTAGACAAGGCTGGCTGTGGCGTCAACGGAAGGCAGTTGACCTACAGTGCGGGACTCCTGATCCGCTAAGGAGGGACAGGGGCGCTACCGGCGGACTTGTACGTGGGATAGTGTGCGTTTATCGGGGGATGAGACGAAGAGCCTTGCTCCGTTCCCGCCGCTCTTATACCACTGGCAGAGAGGCTGTCCGGGTTCGCACTCCGCCGCGATATCCCGGTCAGCCTCGTTGCGATTTCGACCGGTCCCAATATGCTCTTGTTCGGGCCATTTCGACCCCCTGCGCCGGATGGGGGGCTGGCTTCGCGAAGCTTGGGTGCTTCTCGCGGATATCCGGGCCTGTCTGGCTGTGATAATCGGGGTAGGACAAGGGACTGTCTCCTTCCGCACAGCCGCCGCCACACAAGTGCTTGTCATTCATCCGCTCCCCCGGCATTGGGCTGTAGTGAAGACGCCACACGTTTCCCCGAGAGGCCCGCACCCCGCAGAACGCTGCAGATACCAGTCAACCACTACCTAAGTCGATGCGCGACGCTCGGACGGCCGGGAGGAAGAACTCGCAGTCGCACGCCGTGTTTTGCGCGTGGTCAAGATATCAGCCATGCGTTCCCGAAGGCTGGATATCTGGATATATCGAGACTCGTGCATATACGCTTTGCGGGTGCAGACGGGCGGTGGGGCTGTGCGAATGCGCTTCGTTGATGGTCTTGCAGCCAGTGCTCCGGTGAGCAGTATTCTATCGCAGCGCCCAAAGTAACGTATACTCATATTCCGTATACAAACAGCCGATATCCTTCCAATCCCTTCTTAACCTGATAATCACCGCCATCGTACAACAAAGGTTCGTGCCCTCCGCGCTATATCCGCGCAGTGGTCAGCCGCCACCGATTATCGATCACCCCCTCACCCCTCCATCGCGAACGTTATAATCCGACCCAACCACGCCCGAAAGCGGTGGCACAGCCAGGACGTCCGCACGGCTCTGGGATGCGGTCTCGTTCGTGCGCCGGGTCTTCTCGAGGAACAGGAACGAGATGACGACGGTGTCCCGGATCTCCGCCGCGCGTGCGGTCAGCACGAGGGTCGCAGGCGTCGACGTTCCGGCGGCGCGGTCGGAGCGGGATCTGAGAAAGCGTGCGATGGGCTCCTTGAAGCCATCGTCTTCGGAGAAAAGCTGGGAAAGGGGGCGCATTAGCTAGGATGGCGAGAACGGGCTTCCGTGGGCTCGCATACCTCGAGAGGGCGGCCGGGAGCGTTGCCTCGCCATTTGTACTTTCGCCCGGCATCGTCTTGGAAGCTGACGTCGCTGCATAGGCAAGCACCGGTTAGTGCATGCGCCAAGGAAAAAGACGAACCGAAGGCGTACTCCTTCACGTAGAATGGGATGAGGCTGGTATGGAGCCAGTCTCGCAACGACATGGGACCCTTGGTGCCAAGAGTGACCTTGTCTGGGAGAACATCCCTCCATTCGAGGGAAGCGAGGATCTGCTCGTCTGCGTTCTTGACGTGGGTGGTAGTGGCTGACTTGCTATGCTCGGTGTATACAACATAGAGCTCCTTGCCATCTGGGTCAAGGACGGCCGCGTTCGATGGGTTGTCTGGCGTAAGCGTCAGGGTCACAGCAACGGGAGTAGACATGACGATGATCGTAGAACGCTATAGCGAGGCGCTCTGGGGAAGTAACCCCGTTGGTTCCCCCGTTCCATCCTTTTTATATTACTCCGTTGGCTCTGCAATGTGCCCGTATAGGGCGCATGCTTGTCAGCATTGCAAGAACGCGATGCCTGCCAACGACGTGCTGCGGGCGCCACCAGTCGGTACCGTGGTCACGAGGTCGAGACACCCAGAGGAGTCAGGTCCTGGTCGATCGCGCTCGACCTCGTCCCGCATGGTTCTGTCTAGGAAGCTATGGGATGTCTGCATGGAGGTGCCTGTGCTAGTGCTCCCGATCCGCCGCAGTACAAGTTAGACGTAGCTGCGCCGCGGCATTGCCACATACGCCGGAGCCTTTCATGGCTGCCCTGCGACTTATGATGGCGACGAAATGAAAATATTGGTAGTTCGATGATAAAGGATGGAGTAGACGTACCTGGTCAAGAAACATGACCAGATTACGGATGGCGGATCTTGTCTAAGGATGAAATCATTCCAGTCGCTAGTGGTTTAACATGTAGAACAAAGTAGCAGGGGCGTCATTTGGACATTTGCCTAGCCGAAGGCGCCCAGTAAACAGCCCGATGATCGTCTTACCCCCAACACGATGCAGGCTTTAGTAGCGTCGAAACACAATATTAATGGGTAGGTGACTGGCGATACGATGAACAACAAAAAATCCTTCGAACCGGGATCGAACCAGTGACCTCAAGATGCCCTGGAATCCAGGATTGATACCAATTACAGTCTTGCGCTCTTCCAACTGAGCTATCGAAGGCTTGACATGTGTGCATTTGCATACATTATACTCAGCTGACCCTCAGATTTTAAAAAGCTAGAACGTGCGTGCCGGTGAAGCTTCCCACGGAACATTCTGCGCTAGATGATCGGCTGTACATCATTACTAGCTGCTAGCAGCCTTAAAGCGTAATGCGGGGTAAGTCGTCTAAGCAAGTGGGCTCACTTGGCTGTCCTGCCCATCCTGCGGGCCTGAACACACCAACGCCCTAGAGCACAGCTGCCCGGGCGCGACAAGAAATGTTTGGGGATCCCCATGATGAGTGAAACATGAGAAGATGGGGCGAATAATCGGCTACGGTTGCGGAGGCGATGGTACGAGAGTGAATTGAGTGGCCGTTGCCGAGCCCAAGATAGAGGTGACCCCACCCAGACCGCGAATGCTATTTCGTGAGAACGCCAGCCCACGCAGCTCCCCAAAAACCCAAGCTCGGCCCCTCTCGCTCTGTATCGCACCCGCCTTGCCCTCTTCTCCCAGAACCACCACCCCCTCTCCCGCCGCAACCGCCCGCGCAGCCGCCCTCGACGTCCGTGCCCCTTATTCGAACGACCATGTCCACCGTCCTCCGCGCCCTCTCCAAGCACGCCCGCGCCGTGTCCAGCGCGTCCCGCAGCGTGCCCAGCACGTCCCGCGCGTTCCACTCGCCCTTCGCCGTCCTCTCCACGTCGCAGTCGCCCCTGACCACCCCTCCCGCGACCACGTCCACCGCTGGCGGCTTCTACGAGAAGCAGCTCGACTACTCCTCGGACCCGTTCGTCTCCTCTGCTGGGCACCGCACGTACGTCGTGTCCGAGCCCGACCCGGCCGACACGCCCTACCAGGTCCCCTCCGGCGCGTACCCCACGTCCGCCCCGTACCAGAACTACGTCCGCACGGAGGCGATTCCCTCTGATGGTGTGCAATACGCGTCGACCGCCCCGGGATATGCGCACCCCATCACCCAGAAGGCGCAGCGCAATGAGCTCCCCGATGTTAACCCGCCGCCCCTGTTCGAGCACGCCGAGCAATTCTCCAAGGCCGGGGTCGACCATGCTTGGAAGCAACGCAAGTGAGCGAGCGTGTCGCACGCCCGCTCGCAGTCTCGATTCGTGCCGTTGCTAGGATGAGGGGTCTAGGAAGGAGGGATCACGGGAAAAGGACGTTCGTAATCGCAGGTCGCCCGCTTCGTTGTCTGCACTGTGTCTGTATATGCCGAGAAGAGGAGTTCGTTGTACGAGTACGCTGTCACGACCATGTTCCACCACGTTGCCCATAATGCATAGACTGTACATTCTTGCCAGAGAACGCCCTCCCCCCTGTGTGCTGCGTGCGTGCCTACATCGTTTCGCCGTCGACCCTCCGAGACTGCATGGATCGATAGCGCGGCCTTCCGCGGCCAGCGTCGAGACAGTGTCGAGACGCGACCGTGTCGACCGCGGAAGCGCGTCGCGGACGTAATGCGTCCAACGACGTCACAGACTCGCCAAGGCACGCGCGCCCAATCTCCACCGGGCCGCGCGGAACAGGAGCTGCGTCCTCCATGTTGGGCCGTTCCTGCTCCTTTCGCTGGGTCAGTGTTCTGCCTTCCGGGTTCGTTCATTTTGACGGGGTGCCGCCATGATAGGCTTGGCCGGAAATTAGGAGTAAGCATTCAAGTTTGATCGCATATAGCCCGCGGTTTGGGACTGGGAATTCACAGTTTCGGTGTAGGGCGGGACGGCTTCAAGTTCCTCTACCTATCAGTAGACGCACCACTGCGGAGCGATGCATATACGCGGCCCCCATAGTGTGTCAGACGGTACTGTTTTATCTATGGCCGTTCCTATGATTGGGGTACCCGCCGCCCCAAATTGGAACTCGATCTATCGAAACGAACTGCCTAACATCCGCCCTTGTTGGCGCACGCGCATGACAGGGCGGGCCCTCAGGGTACTCCACATAACGGCCTGGCCTGGTTCCCGGCACCGCGTTAAAACCATCTGATTCTGCCGGGGGACTGGTGCATGAGCTCCTGTTACAGGTTTTCACTTCGCTGCGATCCATGATTCCGAGTATGAGTGGCTCACAATCGGGCGGTAATCTTTGGCGTCGCGCTATCGGCATCTCATAACTCTACCGTCTACGCATGAAACCGACTATACGCCTCTCTCAGGAGACAATAGGTCGCTCCGTTTTCTAGGATCAAGTTTTTGAGGGCGGTCGGTGCTCATTGACACTGGCAATGTCCACTGATTTTCAATGGTACAAACGCGATGCCAGCATCCGCTACCCCCCACCCCCACCCCGAAGAACGGCAGTGAGTTCAATTATTTGTGTTGCTTCTCACGTTATGTGGTTCCCTGGAAATATCAACGTAGTGGGTCGGACCTCTCACGATTTTTTTTTCAAGAGGCAGGCTCTACGATGTGTCAAACTTTTGGCCGCATGTTGCAGTAAACATTGGCCTGGTAACAGTGCGTCATCAGCAATGGATGGGGCAAGACCTTATACAGAGACGTGGGCGTTGCGGCCGACACCACAAGCCGATGCCTCCATGTCCCTAGACGTATTTCTAATTGACAGGAGAAACATCGGGGCGCCCGGCATGATGCACACAGTGACGATTCTTCAAGTCGTCCCCAAACTCGTGCCAGTCCATTAGATAATTGCGTACAGATACACCCCAAAAAAGTGCAACAATATAGCTACTATGTACGATACCCAAGAGGTCCAAGAAATCTACCGTCGGTCCTGCCGGACCTTTGTCGTCTTCGGTTTTTCGACGCCGTGTTTCCAGCCGCACTTCATGATCTCGTGCGCGTACTTGCGCTCCGTCTCCCCCCACACCTGGCCCCACTCGAGGATCTCCTCCCGGAACGCGCCGTCCCAGTCGCCCGCGCGGAGCTTCACGTTGTCGTGCATGTAGTCGATCCCGATCTCGTCGTACACCTCGCGCCAGAACGGCTTCACGAGCGAGAAGTGGACGAGCCGGAGCTCGTCCTGCAGGCCCTGCCACAACCGCGGGTTGCGCTTCTTGATCGCGATGTTCCCATTGTACGCGTACGGGAGCCGCACCGTGTCCGCGCCGTAGAACACGTTCAGGAACGCCTGCTCCGCCTCCCAGTGCGAGTACCCCGCCGTGTTGATATGCGCGACGAGGTCGCGGAACTTGGCCGAGTCTGGCCGGACGAAGAGCACGCCCGCGTTGAACCCGATCGTGAAGCCCGGGTCGCCGACGTATACGTCCGGGACCGCGGCAAAGTTGAATGGGAGCGCGAAGAGCTCGTCGAAGTTGCGCCGTACGAGCGTGTCCGCGTCGAGGTACACGACGGCCTTGAGGCCCAGATCCGCGAATGTCCATATCCGCAGCTTCGTGAACTGGTCGATGAAGTGCGAGTGGACGCCGCCGTCGGATGGGGGTTCGACGCGGTCGACGGCGTACGGCTCGAACCCAGACATGGACGCGATGCAGAGCGCTCGTTGGGAGACGCTCCCCGGCAGGTAGAACACGATTCGGCGCGCCGTGCTATTTGCTTTATTTAGAGAGTGCCCGAGCGTGGCGATGGGGACGGCAAACGCGTCGTTGTACATGCTGGTCACGATCGCGTTATCCAAGGGATGCTGCGGTAATGACTGCAGGTACGCCTCGTTAATGAGCGAATGATGGTGTCTTGACGGAAAGACTACGTCAGAGGTCACGTTTGAATTTGACTGAACCTTCACACTTACAGGTGCTGGTAGTTGTCCAAGGGTGTCCTGATTTCTTCTTTTACCGTGACCACTTTTGCCTTCTTGTGGGTCAGAACTACGTTCCATATCAAAGATAAACAGAATAGCAGTCGAAACCATGTAGCCGGTTGACGGAGCCTTTGGACGATTACACGGAAGCGAGTGGACCTGGCACGGTAAGGGGGCATGGTGCGAAGACGGAGCAGCGACGCATGCCGGTTTTGCTCCGCCGAAGTACTTATAGCAGCGCCCAGTTCCGCCCGCACGATGCACTGCGGACATTCAGCAGGCCACACTGTCCAGTGTGCGCTGGCACGGCCGGCCGGGACCGGTGGTAGCTTAGGCGGCAGATGGGCGTTTTGTTGCAATTCCCCCGGCGTCGAGGACGAGATTGATAGGCCAGTGTGTTGTGTGGACAGGATGCGAGGCCGCCAAGGCCGCGACGGCTTGCCGGGACGGCTATGTTTTCGAGGAGTGCTTCCTGCAAACCTTGCCCATCCGGGGGGGTCAGATGCAGACCGAGGCTCTGTGTGCGGGCGTCTATTGCGCGGCTGCGATCTACCTTACCTCCTCCGCGTTTCTACGTTCCCATGATCTGTCAAGGCTATGCTTCCATGCCGTAAGTACGTTCTGACCGAAGTCGACCTCGTCCAGCGCCAGACGGTATTTGAATGCAACGTTCGACGATGGTGGAACCGTGGGTCATGAGTCGCCTTTACCGAAGGCGGCACGTCTGATGTTGAGAGCGGCCAAACTACGAAATTCCGGTATCTGCGCATAGCCTCGGCGCACACATGCATGCTCAATCAAATGCTATGAATCTCAACCGTAGAATGAGTGCGGACGGCGGTGCGCACTCTCCAGACACGAACCGACTAAAGCGATACGACCCTTGGAAACGCATGAAAAGCCTTCACGGATGGGTCGTAATCGCGGCGGCCGAGTCGGGGCAAGAGCCTGAGAAGTACTGTAGTCAATAAACGAGTTTCTAGTGACGCTGGGAAAAAGTTTGATCCGCTCGTCAGCAGCACATGTTCCTGAAAAGTACAGCGCTCGTTGTTCGGCAAGTGGACTGCAAGTGGCTGCTATTTACTGCACGTCCTACACACGTCAGGAACATAGCCAAAACGGCGATAAGGATGTGTCGCGGCCGAAACGTACCACAGTGGGCGACGCAACTAGCCGCCACGGAGCCACGACGGGGAGTAGCATAGTTGCGAAGAACAACCAACGCAGTTGTATATGTCGTGTCGTGTGGATGGCGGCGTCCGCTCACTCGCCAAACACTGACG